AGCTTGCGAAAAAATTAATTGGGTTCGAGTCCCACCCGAGTAAGCTTGTGAGGTTTTTTGTAAGCTCTCGGACAAGCACTGAGCATACAGTGCTTATTAATATGCGTTGGGTAAGGGCAAACCCGTTATATATACATTAACATTCCCCTGAGCTTTGACTTATTGAGATTTTACTGTAGTTTGAAATCAATTCCGGTGATATTTCCATGTCAAATAACAAAGGTCAGATGAAACAGGGACAAAAATGAGTCTTGGAAATTTTAAAAATATTTCAGATCCTTACCACCAGAAATAAACCCTCTGTAAGTCTAAGGAGTGAGTAGGAAAGTTGCTGGAAACATCATTAGCTCAACAACGGGGATAAATTTAGAGTATGTTACGCATGTAGAAGACAAAGAAATGTTCCGCTGTTTGACTTGTTGCAGCTGCCCGCCCTGAGGTTCCTTTTTACCCATCATCAGCCTCCCCTAAGCCTTCCACTGCCATGCAGCTCAAGCCAGTCATCCCAACAAAGCCTGTATCCCAAAGTGGCGTGAGACCTTCCTCTATGGTGTCATCCAAGTCCAAGGTAAGGCAAAGGAGGCAACCTTTGTGCACTGTGTTTGACTTGACTTAATCCCAGCTGAGCTGTTTGAAACCAAGCTCTATAGAAACCATGGATTAAGATTAGTGCAAGCCCTTTTTTCAGTTTTTCGGGGTCAAAATATTCAGCAAATTGTATGTCTTTTTAGAGGTAGATTGATGCATTTATAAGAGCTCCTCCCCCTTTAGATGTTCTACTGCTGTTCATCACAGCCACATTACCAAATCCACAACCCAGTTTTGAGATGTTAAAGCGGCCAAACATTGAAACAAACCTTGTTGATACAATGTTTTCCCCCAATTTTGTCAATCATTCATTTTCGTTTTAAATATAACTATCTCATGTTAGAAAATCCTGTATCCTTTTTTATCCAACCCTGTTGATGTTCTCGTAATTTTGTAGCATAAACTGAAACATATTATTTTTTCCTGTAAAAATAAACAAGCAAAAAGTGTGAATCCTCAAAATCTTTCAATGAAATTCTCCGGAAGACATGTATGAGCCACGAAATCCCACTATAGTACTTTCATTAATAATTCCAGTGCTGGCAATTCCCCAGAAAGCCTTTCATCTTCCATATCTTTCATTTCCGGCACACCCCTATTGATCTGTATGTTATCCCAACATCTGCACGGCACATTCAAGACGACTGCTCTTTTTACCAAAGCATCCCCCCTCATTAATTTCATTGATCTGGCTAGCTTCATAATGTCGGTTTCGTATTACTGGCAAGGTGATATGTCTTCATTCTTGTCATGTGTTATGTATTACAGTCTTCAGATGTTGTTGCACTGAGCCTTAGTGATCATTTTCAACCTGCCCTTTCCATTTTATAGTTTTTTTCTTTTCTAAATTGAATATCAAACAAATTAAACTAAGCATATTGGTTACGTCTCTTCACCGACTGTTAATGGATGAGTAAAACATAAATTGAAAGCAAACTATGTTGTTTTGGGGTTTATTTTGGAGAAGGCTAAAAGGAATTCAGATATTTGGTGTCCTGTGTTTCTTCTGTGACACTTTCCAGAAATAAACAGAAAGATGCAGGCAAAACAAAATGTCTTGAGGAGTCCAAGAAAGCTCATTTGTTCTTGCATTCATATACATGTAGGAAGAAGACAGATTTTGACATTCCAAGATTCCAAGTTCTCTTTCACTTAAATCTAGCTCCATCAGTTAGAATCCATCTTCCTTGTGCCACCCTTACACTGAATTTGAATGAATTTTTAAAACTGTTTTCACGCTACAACATTAGAGATTAGATGAGTCACAAAGCCAGTATTCGTCAATGACATTATGGTGACAGATGTTGGATAATGAAGTAGTGTGAGGTTCAGTACCCAGTATTTACCTCTTTAACGGTAGTTTAACCACTTACCACCTGTGATTGAAGGGCACTAAGAGAACTGTGTTCAGTATGTATTTGAGGGAGTGGTTTGAATTTCAAACACAGTTTACACCCTTTCCCTCTTGGTGTGATACTGCAACAAAAAAGGGATATTGCTCTCAGGAAGTGTGCAAAAAACTGATTACAGAATCCAGCCCGAGCATGAAACTTAATCTAAGGCACAAAAAAGATCTTCAATGTGCCATCAGAGAAGCCACCTTCCACCCCACCCCCCTTTCAGAATAAATAATTTATGCTTTTAAGGTAGGAAACGTATACTGCAACACCCCCCCTTCAAGCTTTGTTGCATTATTTCGGAAAAAATGCTGAGCATTTTAATATATTGATACTATGGCAACAGTGTCTGGAGTCTGGATAAGCCAAAGTTCAAATGAGTCAGAGGTTAGAGTAAGTCTATGGACAAAACAAATCTGAATCAAACCCATGCAGGAGGACATATGCCACTTGAAAATGGCTTGCTGATTAGGAAATGTTACTAGCCACTAGCAAGCGGTAAATGGGACTTGATGTTCTATTCAAACGAACATATTTGAAAATCCAGATTGTTTGTCATTTTGTGCACAGGGTAGCAGACGAGGCTCAGGTACTTCAACGAGCACCACAGGGACAGGTGAGCTTTATGTTCCTAATTCATTTTCTGGATGGGCAGAATATTTAATCTTGAGCATCTGGAAGTCACTGGTACCCATCTGTAATGGTTCTGTCCACGTTAAAGTTTTTTATCAGAGAGAATGGTTGAGGCAGTGGACTTTGCTTATTTTTTTCTGGGGTAACCTGTTATTACACCTTTGAGCACAACAAGAAAATGCGTGACATGTTCACTGTCTGTGAAAGTTGGACCACCCGCGTCACTTAACATGCTTTCTTTTGATGATTCCTGTACATCGTCAAGACAATAACTGAAAATGTATATAGATGAATGCTTTTGAACATTGGTATTGTGTACATGCACATAGATGGTAGGGAAGACTAGTATAGCCATGTGGCGCATGTTGAATAAAGGTTGAGACCAACCAACTTCTGTCAGAATCAGCTGCTGGAACATGTCTAGACATTGTCCTGAGTAATCCACGTCTTGCTCTGGTTAACTTGATTGGCCGATGAGTTCATGCATGGTTAAGCTCGGAGAGTGTATGAGGTTGGCTGTTCTGCCTGAGCAGTCTTTGTCTCTGCAGTACTCATCAGGCCCATAGGCCTTTCTCTGGAGTAGCAGTTTGATGTGAGAAAGATCAATTCAGCTGATTACAGCTGATGGCAGGAAGCCATGACCTGGTTTAGATGTCACATGATGAGGAAAACATCCCAGAAGAAGGTGGCAAAAGGGGAACCCACAAGTTCTCACTGACTGAAAAATTTGGGGCTGTTGAATCAAGAGCAAATATTTACTTAGAAAATGAATCATCTACATGTTATGCTGCTACACAATATGTGAAAATGAACTTGAAATTGTTATCTGCTGTATGGTGCATTTGGGGTTTCTGTGGAACCCATGGATTTGACTCTTGGAATGTAATGGTATTGTTTAAGTCCTTAATTTACTGCATCTTTTTCTATCATGGCATTGTCCTAAGTGAGTAGAAGCAGTTGGCTGGATAGCTCAGATAGTTGAACAATGATGCAGTATTCAGAGTGAACTCAGTATTGCCAGTTACTCCCTAAGGTTAATTTGATTTCTGTTTTCTTCCTTTGTTTGCACAGGACAAGAGCCTGACCTATCACCCCATGAAGATGGAGTCGATGACGGAGAGGGCGCCCTGTATCAGAAATATGAGGTGGGACGCGTAATCGGTGACGGCAACTTTGCAGTGGTCAAGGAATGCTTGAACAGGTGAAGTTTTTCCATTGTAAAAGTTACAGTCGAGATGGACTGGGAGTGTTACATACTTAGGCCAAAGAGTAGCTGAAAGAGTAATCACAATGTTGCAGTGCTAGCTTCCTTATTTAAATCTGTTGAAAAATTTTCTGACACTGCGCCATCATGGTATCAAATCTTAATGTTTTTACTTGATCAGGAATTTGAGGGACTTTGTTCCATAAAATTGGCCCATCTGTTTTTCATTTGTGGGAGCTTTTTATTAACTGTTAACAGCAATATATAGCATGTTGTTTCAAAGAGGAATTCATTAGCCAAAGCAACCTCTTTTGTTTAGTGTTCAGTTCAGCTAGATCAGTGGAAATCTGTGTGATCTCATTAGGGTTTAGATTGCTTATTGATGATGGCCTCAAAAATGGAATGCATTGTCTTAATATACATCATATATATATCAAAACCAAATATTTCAGCTTGAGGAGAGGGAAAATGTGGGTTGTATTCATGATTGTAGACAAAGAAATTCTGTGATGCCAGCTGTGATGATCATTTACATGAAACAGTTATTTTGATTGGCCTTTTTTATCTCAATTTTATATCTCAATTTAATGAAGTTGTTGAAGTTGAAGCCCTGCCAAGTATTTCATTAAGCCAAAAATGCTGTGATAAACATCAAACTTTATTTCAGTAACAGGATTTAAAAGTAAAATTTACAAAATAGTTTTACTCGAAGACAAAAACTAGACTGGTTAACTTTGGAGTTCGAAGGTGAAGATCCGTAAGGGAAAAAGTATTAGCATAAATGATATAGATATTTTTTGGAAAAGGTTGAAATTTCTTGTGAAAGCAGATAATTCAGTTATGTACTTCAGCACTGAGACAGCATTTTGTATATTCTAGTTATTATATGGAAAGTTATTTTGTAAAAAAAGCATTGCTTAACATAATTTATTTGCCAAACAGCATTTAAAAAAAGAGAAGGAAACTTGCCCTGGAAAATTGACATTTGCTTTTTGCAAATTTACAGCATTTGGGCTTTTGTTTATAAGATTTAGTTACCAAAAGTTTGCCCCTTTTGTCCGGAAATATGCCTCTTTTGAAATAGATAGAGAAAGATTACCTCATGAGAAAGTATTACAAAAGTATTGAATGCCTTCAAAAGGAAGTGCTTGAGATCAGAACAATTTTATCCCAAATTCAGTATTTTTAGGTGTACTTGCCAAGTACATAGAGTGTTTGGTCTTTTTGCCTGAAATCTCACCAACTGGAAAAAACGAATTTAATAACCATGTGCTGTTTTTCACCATGCTAGAAACTGACACAAAATGCGCTTGGCAAACTCCCTTCTCATCATTGCATGAGTAGCAGTTTTGAAACTTGTCCATTATTCCAGTGTTCTGCAACAAATGAAATTTATTTTGCCTATTAAACTCCATTATCAGCACAGACCATTTTGCTGTTGTCTGCTGCATGCCACATTTTGAACACCCTTCGTATCTTTGTCCATTGTAAGTTCATTTGCCCTATTTCACGGTGGTTGCACAGTGGTTGCCATTGCTAGCTTTTTTGTGGCTGTATATTTTAAATGTGTGGGGGTTTTTGTTTGTTTTTGTTTTTTTGCTGTTTGTTGCTAATTTAAGTTTGTATATTTTGTATCAGTTTTGCTACTGCTTTTTTTGTTGTTTTTTTCATTTGTAAGCACATTTTCATTTATTGTATTCTTTGCAAGTCATGTCTCACCTGTTCGATGTGTTGGAGTTAAACCTGCCTTTTGTTAAGATTAACATACAATTATTTATCACTAAAAACAGAGGAGTAAAGTAACAGGAAGTAGACACATCACGAAATGTACATATATGAAGAAACTTGTTAGTCCTAAACCTTGGATATGAATTCTTAGAAATATCAGGAAACTAGAAGAATTCAACACGGCATTATTCTGCACATATTTTTATACCATCTCTAGTAAAATTGTGGCATTAAGCCCCAAGTAAAGTAATGGTAGTTAAAGCTCTACAGACTAAGTAAATTTCTTCCTGGGAAGATCATGTGATGGAATGGTATAGTTTGACTCTCTACATTTCTAAATGTTCACCATCGTTTTCATGTGATCAGACCTGCTCAAGACTGAACCAGCTGGTATTCATTTTGATACATCACTAAAATTGGAAGGGACCGTTCACTTTGAATTCCGGAGATTAATTTCCTGTCACTGTATCATATGATAAGGAGCAAGCCGTGCACTAGTCACCCTCTGCAGTTGAAAGTCTTTTTTTCCAATTCTGATCTCAAAAGTTATGTTAACTGTGTGAAGGGTCAGTGCACCAGATATTAGGTGTAGGTCTCATATATGTGCATTGAATTAAAAGGAATGTCCTTCAATGTCCACTGTACTGATAATGAACATCCACTGTCTCGCAAAGATGAGTTTGATATGTGCATTATAACTACTCATGTGCCACCCATGTGATGCTGCACATTTGATTCGGCTGGACACCTCTTTGCACCATCTCAGCACAATCACACAGGCATTCGGCTTAACGTTCCCTGACAACTGGTCGCCCAAATTGTGCCAGCTCGGAATTCCGAATGCGACATCCTATCGAGTTCAATCAGGCTCACTTGCCGTTAATAATTGCGGGTGTTTGCCCTCGTATTTGAAACAATCCACTGTGGTGCCACAGTTTGGATTTTGGGGCTCATATATATAGGTTCTATTGGGGGATTTTTACATCAGACAATAATTGACATTGATAGATCGAAGGACAACAGATGAGACAGGAATATTCTTTGTCATTGATTCATTTATTTGAAATAAGTGCCCTATAGTTAAGTCTCTTGGAAACAGTGAAATGTCACTACCGAATTGAAGAAATATAATGATTTCTCAAATTTTTTAAGAAAGTGGATTCAACATTTCACTGGAATATATTGTCGACTAATGTTTATGTATAGATTAGGAATATACCAAAAGGAATTTGACTTGCAGAAGTCTTTCATAGTATTTAAAACAAAATTAGTGATGAAAAGTTGTCTATTTATCAGTCATTTGAATACATTTTATTCATGACAGGAGTATTGGCCTTTTTGAGAAGAAAATGAATGAAATACAAATATTTTTGGCTGCTGTTTAAGGATAAGAAGTTGTATAGAAATCGAGAGAAGATTGGCCAGCTTAAAGCATTTATTTTATTTATTGAATTTGACTAGTTGCAATTAAGGAGAATATGAGCAAGTACTGATGCAAATTGCTGTCAGAAGGAAACTATTTTTTTCATTTCTTGAACGTATGGTTTAGCATTTGTAAATATTGTACAAAAAAGGTCAAAAAGTGTTTGCTGTGAGGTCTTTGTGCATTAGTAGTAACAAAAAATATGTGAGATAGGTGAAGCAGGGGTAATCGTCTTAGGTAAACATGTGATGTGCAATATGCATGATATTTGTTTTGGGAATTAAAGATTGCAAATGTCATAGTGTTTTGATAAATTTCATGGTAATTAGTGGTACATGAAATGGCAACTGATACAACGTGATTGTCTGTTCATTGGCAAATTTCAAAGAATTAAGTTTACAGGTAGAAAACATGCTCAGTCTTATTTATTCAGGATGATTGCATGTATCTGATGTAATTCATATGCATTTTGAAAGTTATGACTTCGAGTTTGAAGTACCATTTGAAGCCATGTTGGTGTGTATTTTTTCATATTAGTAGTCTTTCTTTGAACTCTCTACTGGTTAACTTCAAATTTTATTATCTACTTCACAATGGCAATGCTTGGCTGCATATGCATGTGAAGTGACATTTTTTATTGTAAGAAGAAATATGTACACTCCCATGGGCATTCCAAAGGGGATGGGGCATTGCTTTTAAAAAAGAAAAATAAATAAAAGAAATAAATAAAAGAAATAAATAAATAAAAGAAATATGTACACTCCCATGGGCATTCCAAAGGGGATGGGGCATTGCTTTTAAAAAAGAAAAATAAATAAAAAGCCCCAAAAAAGGAACAGAATAAAAAGGGTACTGCAAGAGCAACATAAGGAGGAAAGTAATGAAAATCCCCTACTCAGAAAAACATATATCAGAACTTACTTCTCTACTTCTGTCTATGGTTTATCAGTATGTTGGAGATGAGTGCCTTGCCCCCGCTCCTCCTAAAAAACTCCTGCCCCTCCCCTTTGAAAGTTCCTAGTGACACCCATGAACACTCCTGTCATCAGTTCTACATAGTGACACCCGAATGAAGAATTCTTTATTGCTGTATTCATTTTCACAGCAGTTGATTAGAAAAGAATGCCGTATTTTGCATGGTTCATATTTTACATAAAACTAAAGGTAAACAAAATTTATATTGACATCAAGAGCCGTTGGTTTTATTTTGACATACATATATATATCAACCGAAGTAAATTACACTCTGCTATTATGTGAAATCTGAGTTGGTCATCCCAGACCCTATAGGCACTGTTTTGACCCTGTTTATGCACTGAATTGTCTGTTTATGTGGCACTTCTTGAGCAGCTTTTGTTTCAATAAATTGTGCTATGCATGAACCAAGATGAAAGCATGGGCTTTGGTGTTCCTTGTATTTTATTTTTGTTGTTGCTTTGTTGTGTACCTCATGACTGTTACTTTTGATTTCACTTATAATCCCCCCCTCATCTGCCCTCGTTACATCTGCCCTCTTCAAAGGAGACTTATTTTATCCCTGGCATCACGTGACTTCCTGTATAAAAAGCAAGCATGTGGCAAGGTGGATGGAAGAGAGATTTTGAAAAAATAATAGCGATGCGGACAAGAGTAATTCCAGACATAAGGGGTCCATTTTTTTTGTGTCCCTGTCAAATGTGACATGATTTTGTCAGTTCAGAACACATTTTCTAATGTCCATGAGTTATGAATTAATGCAAATTACCTGCCAAACAAATACTTTGAAATCAATTCTGGTGATATTTCCATGTCAGATGTAACAGGGACAAAAATGTCACACTTTTGGACCCCTAATTTCTGGAATTACCCACAAACAAAATCAACATGGCAAAAGCAAGTAAATTGGACAAAAGTTCTTTCAGTAGGGCAAGCAAACTTGGATGATATGCTCAACTTTGGGGTAAAATTCTCAGCAGAGAAAATCAACAAGTTGTAAAAAGTCTTAGCAAGTTGCTATAAGCAAATTTGTATTAAGCAAGGGAGATTCTGATAATTCAAATCATGTCCAACCAAAGAGTGCGATATGTTTTTAATGTATGATATACAGCAGCTCGACACAATACAGGTATTGAAAAAAATTATGAACCTCCAAAATAGCCTTGGACTTTTTGGGCAAATTAGAGAACAAACACAACTAACATATCTACTTGTCAGCAGAGCTACATTCAAGTAAGTCACTGTTTAACCTCGGCCAGTCCTTTTCTGGCAACAAAATTCCTTGCCTGAACAGTTCTAGAATGTAGGAAATCGGACAGATAAACAGTCAGGATACATATAAGTACTAGTTTACAGAGCTCTGGGCGAAGAGATATAGGCTCAAAATTGAAAGTGGGTTAATGCAATTTGCATTGCTTAACCTTTGCAAAGGAGTCAAAGAAGTGGCAGCTGACACAAATGCCTTTATAATGTTTGCCTAGTCATAATTATGTTCTGTCTGAAGAAAACTCATCCTTGACTTGTTTACATTATCTCCATTAATGAACGTTTTGAAATGTCTTGCAGTAATTTGTCCAAATGATAAAACTTGCCCAGGAAATTTCTTATCAAGTTAATCACACACAAAATATGTCTTCACAAACCCTGGTTAAGGGGCCAAAATGCCATGTGATCACTAGTACTAGGTTGCACTTAGCTGGAATAGCATATGAATTTGACCTTTACTGAATACTGCATGGCAAGAATCAGTAATCAACACAACACTCACCAACACATTGCCACTTTACAGGGTAACTCACTGATTCTGCAGCCCATTTAATATTTAACTTTGATTTCATATTAGCTGCAATGGATGACTTGTATAGCACCTGAAATTGCTTTCCAGACAGGAAGGACAAATTCCCAGACAGACAAATTAAATCAAGCCAGAGTTATTGAATTGAATGAACATGTATATATATTAATTTGGAATGAAAACCTTTGTCGTCATATTTCTAACAGTTCGAATGAATTGAATCAAAAAAGTCAAAGTTAATTTAGAAGGAAGGAATGTGTGACTCAGATATTGAATTATGTTATAACAAGATACAGAATATCTGTACTCATTATAGGGCACTCATGTCCCCTAATGAGTGAATTGACTAATGAGAAATGTTTCCTAAATTTTTTTTTTTTTAAATGTCGTTCTACCCAAAGTGCCAGAATATTGATAAAGTTATTCAACTACAAGTAGGAGAAGTGAGAAAATAACGGTTAACATCTTAGGTTTGAAGCAAATTTTCCAACAAAAATTCTACAAGACCATTGTCAGTAACAAAACATATGGACCATTGACTGACATGTGGTCTGTAGAGAGCCAAGTTAGTGTTGACAATAAAATTGAATTTTGTATACACTTAATTTAATCCACTACATTACTCCCAGGCATTTCACAGCTGAAGGCCTGTCTTCAAAGAGAATGCATTTTAAGTACAAGCGTGTCAAAAGGGAAATCATTAATGGTCAGTTATGGTCCCTCTCGGGTATTTTTAGTGTCAACATATCAAAGGCAAGGTTTTACCAAGTCGTAAATGAAATCTAATTTAAAACTGCCAGTGATGAAACATGCTATTTCTTAGATTTTAGTTTCAGTATAGCAATTATCTTTCATGGTCTCCATATTCGCTTGCTTGACCAGTTTTTAAATGTATTTCAAGTTTGTAGATCTAAATTTTTATAAGGAGATCTATTTTTGATATATACTTTAATTTTGCCAATTTTTCCCCATTTATATTGAAAAAAAGACCTCAGGCATGGACTTTGCACTCATCATGACTTTAGTCTTAACAAACATACCATACCAAGTATGTGGATTAGATTTTTGTTGAAAAATGGCTTCTCCATGAAGAGAAATGAAGTAGATGTAACAATGCTGGCATTCCAAAATCTGTCCACATCACATAATCATTTTGAGGGCTAACTTTTCATTGAATGATAGATGGTGATACTTTTTGACAAGCATTCTTTGTCAGACGGGTGTCATATTTGACGACCATTGTATTTGTAAAATCGTTATCAAATTGATCATCTAGGATAAAAAAGAATTACATCTGAAGGTTTTAGTGGTAGGATTTCATACTGTAGGCAATTGTACCATTTAGAACCTCTCTTAACTTGTCGGTGATGGTGGACACACTTTCAAAGTTTTAATCCTTGATTTGCAGGAGCAGCAAGAATGAATTTGCACTCAAAATCATAAATAAGAGGAAATGCATTGGAAAGGTAAGCTGCAGATACAGATGATGCACATATAAGTTGCCGATTCTTTAAATATCACAGTGCCTTCTGTCATGAATGATTTCACTGCACACTTTATTCGACTCAGCAGCAATTTTCTGAAAACCCTCTCTGCATCACTTTCTGATTTCCAAAAAATTTCCAATCCTCTTTGTGTCACAGGAGAAAATGATTCAGAGTGAAGTGTCCATCCTGCGCCAGGTCCAACACCCTAACATCATCCGACTGATTGAGGAGTTTGACACTCCGTCTGAGTTATTCCTAGTCATGGAGTTGGTTAAGGTGAGGCAAAATGATGTTGATGGTAAATGTTATCTTTGTTCGTAGGCTTGAATGGTTTGAGTTGAATTGTTCAACTCAAACCAGGCAGCCATGGAAGGCCTTATATGTACAGGTGCAAGTCTAAAATCTCATAGATTATCTTCCAAAGTGAAGCCAATAAATGCATTGTATTCACTTATCAATCCATAGTTACAGCTTGCGTCTTCCATGAATTTTACTTTAATCCCTAGGGTGGGGATCTGTTTGACGCTATCACCTCTGCCACCAAGTACACAGAGCGAGATGCAGGCTGCATGGTCCACAATCTGTGCAGTGCCCTGAAATACTTGCATTCCATGAACATAGTTCACCGGGACATCAAGCCAGAGAATCTCCTGGTGTGTGAACATGAGGACGGGACCAAGTCACTGAAGCTGGGAGACTTTGGGCTGGCGACCAAAGTTACTGGGCCACTGCGCACGGTGTGTGGGACACCAACTTATGTGGCCCCTGAGATTATTCTAGAGACAGGGTGAGGATATTGCTAAAATACTTTCATTTGTCCAGGCATGGATCCGGGGGGTCAACCCCCCTGCTTTTAAAAAAACAAAGAGAAATAAGGGTTTGTAAAATGGGGAAATTGTAAACTAAAGAAAGTGTACTAATACCATTGTAAACGATGTACATCATGTAATTTTTCATCATTATTTCTTGTCTGTAGAAAAAAGACATTAAAAAACAATCCCCGGCCTGACCCCCTCCCGGAAAAATTCCTTGATCCACCCCTGTTGTCCACCTTTTTTTTAATAAACTTTTTTTTTGCAAGTCAGAAATACTTCCATCCATCATCTCGTCATAATTTCAAGATAAGGTTATCCACTTTAATTTAATAGAGGAGAGAGGCAGTTGGAATCTTTGTTGCCGTGAGTTTATACTTTGTAAAATCAATTCTGATGCCTATACAGTTCTGATGTCATATTTCTGAAAGAATTATAATTTGCTCCTGAAGTTGGTAACTCATCTCAAGCTTCTTGGATGCTGATATGATTGGGGAATACTCTTTAGTCGTATCTTTGATATTCCCCTAGTCTTTTCGATAGGAAATCTTAATATGCTTATATTTCCTTTTCATAATTTGATATTTAAAAAAGATTACTCCTTTGCTCCTGGATTTGCTCTTACATTGAAAGTTTTTTTCTCCTTCTGCCCAGAAATGCTGCTGTTTCTGCAGCAAGTTTGTATGATAGAAGGGTTTAAAATGTGATATAATCTAATTTGTGTGCATGATCCTCATTTTCGTTAGGTATGGTTTGAAGGTTGATGTTTGGGCTGCTGGGGTTATCACTTATATCTTACTTTGTGGATTTCCACCATTCAGAAGGTGAGTTGATGACAAGATCTCTAAAAAAAATGGTATAATTCTACAAGAGGGAGTCACAGTGGGGCCTCCTTGATAAATGCATTTCTCGAAAGAGTTTAACTTCTGGATAAGACTGAAAAGTTTGTTTTACCCATTGTGTATTTGCAAGAGTGACAAAAATTACAAACAACACTCATGTAGTTTTTTGAGGAAAGAAATAAGACAAGTATACATATTTACGGGACACAAATTATATAATTTTCATGATCTATGGAGTCGTGCACTAAAATGATGGAAATTATGTGGTCTCCTTCCATTCAGAGTATGAGTGCTCGATTTACATTGTATGTGATAAATCTCTATGCACAGCTCAAGCAATTATTGAGCTAAGGCCCTGGAAAAGTTTAATTCAACAAATTAGTATCTCCTTTTATGTCTTTCTTGCATTCCACCAGTGAGACAAATGACCAGGAGGAGTTGTTTGACCACATCATCGCTGGTGAGTTCCAGTTTATCTCCCCCTACTGGGATTCTATCTCAGAAGTAGCCAAAGACCTGATTTCCTGCATGCTGGAAGTGGATGTCGACAGACGATTCTCAGCCACTCAAGTCATGGATCACCCCTGGGTGGTTGTGAGTATTAACCCACCGTTTTGTTAGCAACCATTGTTTTGGGCTGGAAAAACTGTTACACTTTGGTTCAAGAAGGTACAGGACTACTAATATTGCAGCATTTAGTTGGCAAAGATTTACTATGGAGTCTTTCTTGCCTTAATCCGTCCCTGTCAATCCTCTTGACTTGGAAGATATGCCATTTTTCTGGAACAATTAACTGCAAGAGATGTTTCTTACAAATTCAAAGTTCTCCAAATCATAATTGACTGAGATCGTGTTAAGTAATCACTTACTCTTGTGGGTTTGGAGCAACCACTTATCATGCAGTTCTCTGAGACTGCAAGTTTGCCTGGAAATAAAGTACAGTGCCATTTCCACATCTCAATTTAGAGTGATGACGGTGGGGTTCAACAGCAGATTGATGTCTCTGACAAGCTCAATACGCATTTTAAGATCAAGCCAAAGCAGTCCATCAAAGCCGCTGGCATTGCACTTATTGCTGTGAGTATAATAGTTCATGTTTAGATTGTGATCTAATTCATGCAGAGTTTGTATAACCCTCACCCATAGTACAGACACTTTTGCACCTCATTCACCTTGTAGTTCTCACTGAACTCAGTGATTATTTTAACAAATCTAATGTAACGCATACAATAGCACATTCATTTAATGCTATAAGGGGCCGAGGGAAAATGTGATCCACCTTCCCAAAAGTAGACTGATAAGTCGGTAACTTCATAAGCCTAAAATAATAACTTCCACTCTTCAGATTTTCATGGGAGTTTTACAGCTATCACCTCCCGTAAGAAGCTTACTGCAGACAGAATTTCGATTTAACATGGATCACTTTCAAGCGTAAAAAACCTGAAGGAGAGGAATTGTCCAACATCACAATTACCGACTTCAGCCTGGTTTTGGGATGGTGGGTCACAAATGTTCATTCCAGCCGTTCAAGGAGACCAAGTTAGGCAAAGTTGTTTTGAATTTTGGGTTGAGCAAATTACATTGATTGAAGCATAATATGCCAATACAATACAATACTTGCTCTGGAATAATTGTATGCCAATGAACAAATTGGGCATTTTCAGCCCTGTGCTGGCAGACTAAAAATTCATGTAAGTCAACTGTCTTTGTTCCGAGAGTACTTTTCTGAGGCAACATTATCGATACACTGGAAAAGAAAACTGTTAAATACAGTTTTTGAAAAGCTAAATTGTCCTTTTTCCGCTGAAGGCCACTGCTCTGGACAAGGATGGCAAGTTCTTCCAGGGACGTCGACCTAGAGAGGGCGCTGATGGAGCAGAACACACCTCAGATGATGATGAGTACACTTACTGAAGAAGTATCATCATGGTAACACCAAATGATGACTTTCAGTTTAGGGATACAAGGGATAATTTGGGGGTAATTCGGGGAAGAGACATTAAAAACCTTGCAGTGAGATTGTGCAACACCATGTCAAAAATATCAACATGTAACAAATCATTGAAATAGATACCAAAAATTAACACATTTTTGCATGGAACATCTTGCAACATCTCCCGTTGCCACCAAAGCTTATACTGTCTTGTAATGAAATTGTGTGAATGTTTGCAAAAAGTGTTACAGACCTTGCATCAAAGTTGTGCTTTATTTGCTGACAGCAGAATTTCAATTAAGGCATTCCATTTGCAAACGTTCATATATCAAATAAAATGCTCATAATTAAAAATCAATCATCCCCCAGAAAGGAGAACAACGTTATTTAATTTAGAGAAACTTGCTGTTTTTTTTTAACTTATAATATTCACAGTCAATTGAAAACAGCATTAACAACAATACCAAAACACAAAGTTCTAAACATTTTTGTAATTTGACTTCAGGTGTTTTTTAGGCATTTTATTCAATGAAATATATTTTCCTCCAAAAGGCAATCATTGGAGAAATCTAATAAATAACTTTAACAAGAACAGTATTTCACATAATGCGCACTGTGCAATATTTTGACCAAGTAAAACATTTTCCTCAATGTAGTTAATATTTTACATGTAACTGTGCAAAAGCAGCAAGGTCTTTGTTAATTTAATTATAAAAAAATGTGCAATTTGACTAACACTGTATATATCATTAAGTAACTGCTACAAAATATGTTTCAACTTCAACTGAATAATTTTTCATATACGTATACGTAAAGTGATAAATTTCATGTCTCAAGACTGCAGTCAACATGTACATGTATTAAAATTAATGTGAAAAAGGATAAGTGGTTTTTAATTTCGTATTGCTGATTTCAATAACATTGTCCTTATTGTTTTTAATATTAAGAGCATCATTATGTGTTTTGTTTCTTTTGTCTAATTTCAGTAATATGTTGAAATTACAAAGAACATATGGTTTGCATTTTTAACAGTTCTTAGTAATTTTCAGCCAATTGTATCCACACGGGAAAAAAGAGTTCACTTTGCTAATGTTTTTTTAAATTTTAAATGAAGTACTCTTGTTCTGCAGCTGTTTTTCACACTTCGTTTTTTCTCTAATTTACGCTTACAATTATGTATACCTAAACCTTTATCATCAGGGAAATGGAGTGACAGTTCTCGTGGTTTTGAGTGATAGCCGTCTTCTGATATTTATTGGCCATTTCTAACTCAGCAGTTGCATTTTATATGTATATCACCTAAGGATTAGATTCACTTTTGTCTGCACCCTTAGCTACAATCACTTCACCGTTTGAAATTTGATACCGTGAACACTGAGTACAATTATTGGATTGCTATGTTGAACAAGTTTGCCAAAGATTTGTTGGATTTTGGTTTCCCACCGATTATAGGAAGGTCATAGTCATGACGGTCCGGGGGTTGAGATGAGGGCTATGCAAGTACTGAAAAAATTCACGCTTTTGCTTCCTTTTAACAAAAAGAAGTATTTGTAATTTATTGGATGTAGATGTTCCTCCATCATTGCACAGATTGCTAAGCATGATGCATGTAAAGTCAGACAGTTACGTAAAAAATGATGCGTGATTGGGCTGAGGGGCTGTGTTCTCTCAACGGCAAGAGTGAAACTTACTCTCAAAAAGAGTGAGTCTTGTTTAAATCCACTCAGAAAGTGAAAACCACTCAAAGAGAAAAGCCATATAAGGGACAACTTTTTTTCAGTTGTGCCTTATTATGCTCCTTGGAAGAGAGGAAATTTCACTTTTGTAGATTGGCCTTTTTTTAGAGTGGTTTTTCGGATTCACCCTTTTGAGGGTGATTTATTCACTCTTTTGCATTTAGAGACCACTAAGGCAAGAAAAACATTGAATCCATGCTCACATATAATCTTTTTAATAGGCATCCAACATGTTTATTGTAAGATTGCAAAATTTGGAAGCTTTCTAAACGTCATCATTCCATAATCGGAGTGCGCTCTCCAGAATTCGGTTTGCAAAAATGGCTAAAGTGACACGTCCAGTCCCTCACAGTGCCAACTTTGAACAATGCTAAATTTGAACAAACTTTATCTAATGATGATGTAGCCTACTTGATTTTAATACTTTCCAAATGACCATGGACAAAGGTGTACATACTTACTTTATATGTCGCAATCACTGCCAGACCTGTAACTTTGGTACACGTAATTTGCATCAGTGGTTTGGACTTGTGCTTGATTTTAGGCTGTGCAAGTGTTCAATGTGAGTGGTACTGTAAAGCTCTTTAGAGAATTATAAGTATAGTTTCGTTAGTTGGTACAGAAGCAGCAGAACATCCCGTGGTTTGTATCTGTGTTTCAGTAGTTTTCAAGTGCAATAAAGCTGTGTATGAAATAAAAACCAGTTCATGCCTATTTGCTTACGAAATTTGAAAGTTGGAGCCAAGGAGATATATGCAGCATTTTGAAATTAGAGGAACAATGCATGACTTGTACTACACTCATGCAGCTGGTTCATGTGTGTGTTTTTAAAGTAAAGTTGGAGTTAATGGGCTAACTTTATGGGAAACTAACTGGGCAAACTGGTGATTTTCAAGCAAAATTTCGTATGTAAACTCTTCATGATAAAGCGTTCACCAATCACCGCGGGTGTATAGCCTTCCTCCATGATCCAACCCCACTTCACAGTTTTGAAGTAATAAACTTTCTCGTATTTTAAATTTTTTTTAAAATTTATTTCTTTTTTATTTCAAGTAAAATTCTGGTCACAAAGGATATAAAGACTTCAAAATATTCACATTAGAAAGTTATTTTTATGGCCATATGTTTAGACAGTGTCAGGGCGGAGCCTGCGCACGGGCAACGGCGTGCGGTGTGCAGTGTGGATGAATACTACTAGTACTGATTGTCACAACAATGAACTGCCGGTTTAAAATTGGCGGGCTGACCTGTCAAAGCAGGTTAATTTTTGTAGCCAATTGGCCATGTTTTTGGAGTTACACGAAATAGCATTATTTATTTAGTTTGTTATAAAGGTGAAAAAATGGTGGACAAATAACCAGACAACCTGCCTGTTTGTCTGATCAAAGAGCAAGGAAACAGAGTGCGGGCAAAGAAATTAATTGGATTGGAACTAGCTGACTGCCGCTCATCCGGCCAGCTGGCTAGGCTAAGCGTTTAACATGTAATTGTACTGTACTTCATACATACATTACGTACATGTACATGTACATGTTCGTACGTGCTTACAGTACACGCGCGTAATGCATGTTGCTGTGACTCCTCACTGCCACTCAATCCACTAAAAAGAAGTAGTTCTACCGAACCATTTCTAGAATATGTGGCATAAATTTTGACTTCTGTCGTTGATTTTTCTTTTTCCCCCGTAAAGCTGTATTACCTGATACAAGAAAGGTTTAAACAAAGAAAGGGGTGTTTATTTCTCACGGATCTACCTTTAGCGGATGGATATCCGTTGATTGGATTTGTAAACAGGATTGGTCTTGGTTAAAAATGTACGTGTAGATCAGCTGTGCTTCGTCGTTGACAACGGGCGAATCTTTCCTTTTTTTTTCTTCCGAAATTTGGAGCAGTTATTAGGTGAAAATGAATGCTAAGATGTGCTAATTGGGGCTAGGAGTCTTCACAGACGCTTATGGATAACGCTGATTCGTTCAGCTGTTGCATGTGTCGCTGTTCAGGGCAGAAGGTAATTTTTTCGCGATCTGTACTTTGTCATGTTTGTAATACCAATGTCATGAATGTTGACAACTGCTGCCCAACTGCCATGCCTGAACAAACAAGTAGGCGAGGAGGCCTAGCATGCCCAGGGAATAACGTCGAAATATGTCATGATATATTCTCAAATTATCTGATTTATTTCGGATATCTCATTGGTTCTTAGGCAGAGACGTTGTTTATGACATTGGATGCTGAAATTAATTAGGCCTAGGCCTATTTTTAAATTCAAATGTGCATGGGTTAAAATGTTTGGCGGAAAACCATTAGTTACAGACATCGTTGTTAATCTCTTGGGTGGAGAATTCGGAAGGAATTTGTACCATTTGGCCTACTACACCCCTACTACTAGTCCTAGTAGTTAGGACTCTATGAATCGTCTATTTAAACATTTTGAGGAAAGAGTTCCATTTACAAACGCCACTTGACACCCTGTGCACAAACCCTATGGAGTATGGGACTGGTCTGAAAAATTCTGTTTTCTAAGTAAACAATTTGATTTTTCCCTCCTAAATTGAACTGTTCTGGACATGCATGTTTTTGCTTTCTTCCGGCTAGTAAGACACTGTTTTAAGACATTTTTAACATAGTTGACAATAGTAAAGTCCAAGAACACTTCATCATTTTCATAACTACATATATTTCCTCCCACGCTTCCCTTCCATTAATCGATTTCAATCAATATATCCTTGGTCCTCTTATTTCTACACACCTAAGGTTTTGAAACAAGATTTCCAGAAAACTACAATGCAGTTGAAATTTCTTGGAGGTGATTTGAGTTCTACAACTCACAGTCTGTCATCGAAGCAATTCACACAATATGTAATTTTTTTGTGTGCCCAGGCAGCTTTAAATTTTAGTGGGTACGACCACGTGTGTGTAAAAATTGCTGCCGAAATCTACGCAGCTGGCAGCCTTTGAAATCTATGGTGGCCAAGACATTCTACACAAGATATATTTATTGAAAGAGCGAGTCCTGGTGTTTGGCATCGCAACAGCACATATTTTTTTAATTTTTAAAGCAATTTAAACAGCTTCAAATTGCAAATCTTCCAGTAGTCATTTCCAGTTCATTTGAATAACTTTCTTAAATCAGTAATGGGATGTGAATTTTAATAAAGAACAGTTGCTTTTTATGATATGAGGTTCCTCGGTCTGTCTCTATTTGACACCCTAGCATAATAAATTACAAGTAAAGTCCCTTAATGTGTCCTTTTCTTATTTACTTGTCAGTTTTGACAGGCTTCAGTAGCCCAGCACTGAATATGGTACCCTGTATCTTCCAGTGGTCTGTCCCCTCTTCTGTGCACCCCATGACTCTATATTAACCATCCACCTTGTCTCCAAGTCCCCTCAAAAAGTAAATCTGTAATCATAATCGTGAACAAATGATTTTGTAAGAGAAGAGAAATGTCCTCCGAAAATACCTTCCACACCCCCCACACCCTTGGGTTTATGTCTGTGCCCTTTCACTTTAATCAGATTTGTGCATATCCCACCATGGATTACCTTTATTCATGAATATGGGCAACCCAGTATCAACCCAAGTAATCTAGCTCTCTTCTTGGACAAAATGAAAAACGAACACTAAAAGTGTATCCACCACTAATTTTTATTCACATTCACTCACCTGACAACATAAACAAAAAATTAACATTTTGAAACTTCAAATATAAGTGAAGGGTCCTGTTTGGAACCCTGAAGGGTTGACACCAAGATGACACAAAGAACTTTTAGTTGGGACTCACGACGCGAAGTCAAGTATTTGTGTCGGGAAAATTTGCCCAAAAAAGGGTTGTTTATTTCTTTTACACATAGACTAAGATAAAAGGATTAATTTCCAACATTTTGGGGTCATTTGCAAAACTTTTAAACACGGACAAACGATACTAGTGACTGCTGGCTGTTCAATAGGGTGCACGCCAAGAAACGTTCACTGAAAGGTGAGTGTGTAGAAATAAGACTGCGTAAATTTAGGGGGCCTGACAGTACATGTGCAGCCAAGCTCGTACCTCAAATCAGAATGCCCAGATTCACCCCCAAAACAGTGCTAAAATTGTCTGTGTCCACTTAAGGATTCTGTGGGAATCTGCCATTCATTTAGGCTTCTACACTGATTTACATGTACTTGGGATCATCGAACATTCATACCACTTTCTAGATCAAGATGTAGAGCCTTGATGCTGCAACCCATTTCATCCCTTTCGCATAGGCGCACAAAATTTTTGGGCAATATCTGATTGTTACTCATTAGCTTTTTATATATTTAATCTTCCTGAAGTAAACCTAGTTGTATATAATTGTTTTCAGGTGCCGGTGGTTGCTGTGTGTGGGGTGGGCCATGTTACGTTCCTCAGGGAAGGGGCTTCAGGGGAGCATGCTGTTCGGCATGCTCTCTGAGGCCCTGAACAAGGAGCAACAGTTGTGGAGGCCTGTTCTTCTCAAACAGCCCCAGGGAGAGGTATGAATATCATTTTAATTACTTAACGTGGCAACAGTTTTAAGAATGAGCAAATTCTTTTTTTTTTTTCCTTAGAACCTTGTGAGAATAACTGTTTTAGGATTAGGAGATGCCTTCTCAAGAAAGCCAGTTGTCAGATAGACCCGTGTTAAATTAACTTAATTTTAGTGATGTAAAATAATTGCTACTCGTACACGTCTGCTTGGCATTATTACAGAATGAATATTGAGATGAAACAGCGAAAGCACCATGCAAAGTTGACTTGCATCTGTGAGATTACAGGTCAACTCAAGCATTCATTGAAGTGAAAGGATGATAAAATACAGGCCTGATTAAACAGGTTTGCCCTTAACTTTTTTTCTCACTTACCAGCCTGACCAGCAGTGATGGCTTTTTACTAGTCCGCCAGCATTTTCACTAGTCTGTGTCTTCCCCCACATTTCAACAGTCTTTTTGGCACTAGTGTTTTCTGCTCCAAACATCATGCATAACAGTATGCACTCAGTGCTGACTGTTGTTTAATTGTTGATGAGTAACCATATATGTACATGTAAATGGCCATGGGAATTATGAATTTCCGGAATATTCCTGAGTATAACTCTACTCAAGCAAATTAAACACACAAGTGGTTACCTGCTGAAAATGGTTGTTTTATTCATAATCCAAGAGACAGAAAAAAATACATATCATTATGAACAGTTTATGTACATACATGTACGTTTTATGCCGAATGCACATGTACACGCACATATGTACTGTACATGAACGCCCAGCGAAATGTACACACACAACATGTTCGTTCTAGACTGTGTCCAGTACCTGTGGGGTGTATTCCACCAAATAGTTGTATTTCTGCGTGTAAGCTCATTAATATTTTGTGAACCTATGGAGTGTTTACAATAAGATATGCCATAATCAAGAGGGATCATAGGAATATTTCTATAAATCCCGAATTTGGGACTGATAATTTCCAGTTCAGGATAGTTCTTTCAAAAGTGATGGAGGCTACATTCAGAGCTGAGTGCATAGTTTTTCTCTTATTTTGGAGGTATCTTCGGTTTTTACTCAAATTTGGCTGGCTGACCAGCATTAAGGCCAAACCCTGTTAAATGTGTTGCGCAGAAAAAGCAGGCATATGCTATTGCTGTTCTGAGGTACTAATTATAAAATGCTAGAGCTCTCATCATGGACCAAGTAATGAAGTTCTCGCCAATGTTAAGGTCAACAGCCATTAGCTTTGATTGCATGCTGAGATTTGATGATCATACATCATCATTTGATTTGCACACTTTGATGTCGCATGGCAACTGTCAAATTGAGGTTAAAAGCAACAGCTTTGAGTATCTGCATATAGATATTTGTGTTTTTGCCACTTTCTACAATCGTTCCCCACTAGCAGTGAATTTATAAATTTTATTTTGACAGAAACACAAAGTGTCAATTTGAGGATATGAAAAAATTACGAGAGAGATCTGTGTTGCATGTGTGAAGTGTACTAAGGGAGAAACTTCAATTGTTTTGGGGAATAAACTCTTTTTTTTATCTTAAATATCATCAAGAAAGTAGGCACAAAATTTCCTGTTGAAAGGTTGAAAACAGGTCAGTTTTTCTGTCAGAGTCGTTTTGGGATCAATTTTCTGTGTAACCAGCTTAAAGCCTGGGAGACCTGCACACTTGCAGATTTTTATATTTCTACAGTGAGTCTGTAAACTTTAACTGCTGGAAGAAAGTTTTTCATGATCTAATTTTGTTTTCAAGGAGAATGAGATCCAGCCTAGTCAGAGGGATGAAGCAGTGAAGTGGCTGCTTGAATGGAACCAGAAATTCAGGTATTGCCCTGAAACATTCATGCAAAGCACTGGACTGCTAGACCGGTTCCTCATGGCTGTTAAGGTAAGATACATTCAAAAGTACATTTGCTTTGAAATTGGAGGTTGCTTGTAAATAGGCTTGCATGTAACACCCACAGGAATGGACACCTGCGTGAGTTTGTTGAACGAGGTAATTTGTTTTCACAGCAGTCAGAGCAACACCTGCTATAAAATAAGAGGGGTCCGTGTACATAGGCATCTTCACTTGCAGCAATCATACAATATTTTGAAATGATGATGACCAAGGGATAATGTTTCTGCCACACTTGTAATAATAAACTGTATTTCTTTATATATCCTATTCCTAATGGAATGCCAAAGTCTAAGTCTTGATAAATTCAAAAGTGTATTACTACATGTATCGTGAAATGAAGTAGACATTGAAATTGACATTAGTCAAAGCTGCTCTGAAAAATCTGATCTTTTGACATGCTTGGACTTTTTTTTCTGAATAGACAGTGCGTGTGTGTGTGTGTGTATGCACTGTGAAGAATACAGATGATTGTATTGCATTCGTTTGCATCGAGTGTTTAGTCACAGGTCAAAGTGCAGCCGTTGGCATTTTGGCTCCATTACAGTTTGTCTGTTGAATTCTCTGCCTGTCAGCTTGGTGTAGTGCAAAGACACAAGCAGTGTGAACACAGTGTAAATGTACATGTATGTCGGCCAAAGGTGATCCGTAGCAAGTCTGTGCTTGACGTCGCACATATTTTGTGAAATCCAACAGGCATATTTGTGGTCACTTTCCTGTCAAAATGTACCTGTACTTCTTCGTGTACTCAGTTTCCAGTACATAGCGGATCAATCCGCAATGGTTAACCCTAACCTTCCCCAACTTTATAGAATTAAACAGTAGTAAAGTGTTTAATTCTGTGGGGATAGGTCTGGTAGGCCCATAACAGCTGGCTTTTGCATTAGGTTTGGCATACCTCAGAAAGAAAAGTCCAACAGCCTCTGTGCGCAAAGTCCAGTATGGGTGGTTNGTTGCAGGTTCCCCCAGAGGATTTCATCATGACAGAGAGATGCCAAAAGGAAATCCCCAAACCAACAGACAAGTATTGTTGGGTCCAGACACGGTCATCTCCTATTTTTCAGAAAACTCTCTTTCCACAAAGGCCCCAAATAAAAGATCTGATGTACACTTTTTAAAGTTACTGCTGTGCGGTGTGTGAATGTATAAATTTACTGATATTCATGTCTTTGTCACGAATGAGTGGTCTTGCTGGCACAATACAGAATGCCTGCAAAACTGCCTGATCTTTTAAGAATTCCTGTTGTGTTCTATATATGTGCCATTGTACGCTGTGCATTTACACCAGAGAAGGGAAAGCAAGAATACATTTAAAACTTTTATAAACATGTATGTACATTCAAATCGTGCAGTATTTGCAGCCAAAAGTGCATGTGGATAAACTTTTTGGCATTGATTTCAATGAATGTTCATGTGTTAATGCATTGCAGTCTAGGAGTTTGTTCCTCTTTTTTTTATGGTGCCACATATGTACTAGTATATCTTTGTAGTAGCATTTGTTTTCTTACATAAACTTGTTAAACGAGATCATTTAACTTAAATAAAAAATCTCTCCAGGTCTTTAGAATCTAATAATAAATCACTGATTGTGTAGCAGTCTCAGAGGGCAGGGAAAATTTAAGCCCAGGAAAGTTTGAAAGGGAAACAAAGACAACAACATGTGACAGATGGAGAGAGCTAGCAAAATCCGTTGGTAGGCTTCAGTTCAACCATGTGTACAACACTGGGACACTGTGTATATGGACAGATCAGATTCCTTAGTATAGGAAATGTTTATGACTTGTTATATTTCAAGGCTAACCAGTAGTCATCACATGTACATCACATGCAAAGGAAGAAAAGTCAGTCAGCACGCAGCCTCCCTGTCAGATCAATACATCCATGCATGCAGTGCAGTCAAAGACTTACAGTGCACTATGCGCTCATCAGTATGTCCTTTGTGTTGCCTTCAATAACAAACTCATTTACATTAGAAAGATGGCTTGGTCAATATGGGTTTCCGGCCAACAGCTGTTTTGACAGCTGAGGCTTCATGTGCGCCTATTCGCAGAGGGATATTAAATTATTCTTGTCTACATCTACCAGAGTGCATAAAATTATTGCCTAATTGCTAGGGATATAATGAAATAGTGAATATATTTAAATTGAGAATATAAAAGCACCTTGTTAATTTTGTCAAGCAATTTGAAATATGAAAAGGATATGAGCATTTATTGTGGGTCCGTTGACGACATTGCTTTGATGAGTTTTGCACATTGAGCCGAAACAGTGGATTTTGTTGCCTTTTTTTTTTACTGTGTGTTTGTCTTTTTACAGGCAAGACCCAAGTATTTAAGATGCATTGCCTTCAGTTGTTTCTTCCTGGGTGCCAAGCTAAGAGAAGAAGATGAGGTAACATTTGCTGCCAATTTATTCTTGTGTGGTATTTATTCACTAGCCTTGTTAATTTCACATGTGGTAGAAATCCATTGCTAAACCATTGATTGTTGGAACTTGTTAAACCATGTTGCCTTTATTGAGCAATAGTGCTCAGTGAAGGCAAGGTCCACATGCGTGATAACTGCAAGCAAAATGGGCTTTTTCGTAATTGTAAATTACCCTCAATCCAAATTTTACGGACTCACGTGCAGGAAAACATGTACAAATAGCAAAACAGTGATTCGTTTATTTTTTTATGTAGAAGTTAATTGGCAGTGCTTGCTTGACTTGATGCCTAGTTTCATCCATTTAGGGCCCAATTTCATGGCACTGCTTACTGCAAGCGAAAAAATCGACACTTACCATAGCAGAAAATTCTGTGCTTATGGCAAATGTATTTCACAGGTTAGTGTGGAATTTTGGCTTGTGCGCATGCATACATCCTGTAAACTAAGAATTCTGGGCTTAAAAGGTTAGCGCCATGAAATTAGGCGTAGATGTTACATTAAATCTCAAGTATTGAGTTTAAAGTGCCGGGGTTTTGGTTGACATTTATCTAGTTTTCTTCTCTTTCCCCCCCCCCCATCTTTCTGCCAGGATGTCCCGGCTACAGAGGATCTTGTCCAGGGGAGTGGTTGCAGTTTCTCAGTGGGAGAGGTACTTCGAATGGAGCTCATTGTCCTGGACAAGCTCAGGTGGGACCTTGCCACTGTGACACCACTAGACTTCCTGCAGATTGTGAGTTGAAAACTTGTTTGTATTTATGTTATCTCAGTTTGTTTGTTTTTTTTTAATAGTTTGGGTGAGTGTTGAGTGGCATAGTTCTATAAAGTTTTGGTATATTGTTCAGTGTACTCCACAACCTAAAATTATAGCAGGGTGGCACACAATGCGAGCACGGAGTGCGAAGCCATTACAGCGTGGGGTCCTGATTCTAGATGCTCCGTGGTGCAATCTGAGGTATTTCCTGAGCACTTTCTTCTGACTCTTTGAATCTAATTTGCTCGTGGTAACAATTTGAAATGAAGATAAGATTATTATTGGGAAGCAGTGATGTAGTCGAGTAGTTTTTGA